ACGATTGGCGGAACTGCATTCTCTTGGCGCTCTCAGAAACAAACGTTAGTTGCAACATCTTCAAACCATGCTGAGATCATTGCACTCCATGAAGCAACTAGGGAAAGTATCTGGCTCAGAAACATGACTCAACATATTCAACAAGCCAGTGGACTATCGAACAATAATGACCCGACGGTGATATTTGAAGACAATGCAGCATGTGTCGCTCAAACCAAAGAAGGATACATCAAGAGTGACAGAACTAAACATATCCCGCCAAAGTTATTCTTATATGCGCAAGAGCTCGAAAGAAACAAACAAATCAAAGTTCAATACATTCGATCAAGCGATAATGCAGCAGATTTGTTTACGAAGGCGCTTCCGACGACAATATTTCGAAAGCACGTGCACAATATTGGAATGAGACATCTTCGGGATTTGCACGGATGATAACTCGAGGGGGAGTATGTGCGGCTGTACTCTTTTTTCCTTGTCTCGGTTTTTTTTCCCACAGGGTTTTTCCAGATAAGGTTTTTAACGAGGCAACATAAACGCACATTTAATAGTGGTAATTCCAATGGGGAGTGTTATACATAAGTGGAATTTTACCACTTTTAAAAGTTATCATTATAATTATTATATTATATCTTGTATTGAAATGTGTGCCCATATTTGTCTATAAAAGGGCATAATTTGTAGTGTGATTGATGTACGAAAAAACAGAAGAAAGTGAAAGAAAGTCTGTTATAATTATATCCGGTTTTTACATTGTGTTCTTTATATTCCCCGTATTTCATAACAAAAGTAATGAATATAATGAATGTAAAAAAAATGCAACAGAGAATTGGGTAACCGTTAAAAATTTTCCAATCACATTATATTCATTAGAAAACAATCTAAACTAATGTTCATAAAAAAATATTTTATGAAAATAAGTAATTAAGAAATCCTTCAATTCAAACAAACAATTGCGGAACAAATATAATTTTAACAGGATCATAAAATTTACTCATCAATAGAAAATATGTTTGTACTAGAGTAACAAAACAATTGTTTTCTCCTACAAAATAAAATATGGACAAAGAAGAAGAAGAGATGAGGAAGATGAATAATTCTTCAAGTTGCAAACAGATTTTTAAGAATCAATTTTAATTATTCAATTGCAAATAAATTTGGTTCTAACGTAATTTTTTTCTTTATTTTTTCCCGTCTTTGTCAAACAAATACCCATTTTGATATCAAATTTTAACGCAATTTTGTTTTAAATATGAAAGGATGCCACAAAAGATTAATTTAATATTTCTTATTGATCAACAATATTCAATAAAGTGTATATGTTTGAGAATCACATAAATGTGTATATGATTTTTATGTGTTTAGTATTGTTTTATAAGAAGAAGAAGATATGATATTGGACCTTGTAAAAACTCTTCACATTCCGTAAAAATCTTTCACAATCCCACCTCTTGATGTGAGATTTGTAATGAGATTTGGTACATATATTTTGGCCTTGTTTGGCGATCAGCGGATAGCGGATTGTATTAGCGGATAGCGGATAGCG